GGTGGCGTGGCGGGTAGGCGGCTCTTGGTTTTTTCCCCTGTACGGGGGAGATGCTGGGAGGCTGCCGAAATGTGGATTGAAAATACCAAGAGGACTGAACAATTTGGGACTTGGACTTGATTGAACTCAAGCAAACTTGGTGAAGAGGACAATTGAACTCGGACATTGTACTTTGAAACAAAATGAAACTATAAAGATATTTGGACCTAAAATCAAACTTGAATCCGACTCTGACTTGATTATAACTTACAAGTGAACATAAAAGACTTGGACAATTATCAAGGAATTAACTTGAGCTTAATGTGGACTTCAACATGATGACAAGAGACCCACACAAAATGCTGGACAATAAAGAACATGTGAACTTAAAACAAAGACTTGATTTGAACAACAAATCTGGGACTCAAGTTTGGATAGGGATTTGAACAAAATGCACTTAAAATTGATATGACATGAATAATTTGGACTCAAGTTCAAATGAACATGACCATGTTTGGGACATTGAACATGAATACAAGCAAGAACTTGCCAACTTTTGACAGTGAAGAAGACTCATTTTGGGCTTGGTTTTAAGCTCAAGTCAGAACTGGGTTTTGAATTAATGATTTAGATCTTAACCCAAACTAAAGTCTAATGTTTGGAAGTGAAAGCCATATATCATAACAACGATGAAATCAAAGATAAGTAAGTGAAGAAAGATTAAGTCTTCAAGAGATATATAAACAAGGAATGCTGAGGTGGAATTATCTCGAATTGTTCAAGCAAATCAATCTACATACAAACAATCATGCCTATTTGTTACAAAAATAAGACCCAAATGCAGTTGAACGTATTGATCCTTACAGGCAATGGGGCTTATGCTAAATGGAACTTCAAAGTTGATTAGTTGGTATGCATTATGGTAAGTTGAAACAAATAGGAGACTCATCACATACAAGTAATGGCATTTACAAACAGATGAAGAGAGGTCTCTTTCATATAGAAGTTTAGTCAAAGGTGACAACAGACGAGATGCAGTGAATGTCAAAACCACCTCATAATAACATCAATCAAAAGCATTGATTCCCTACGATCAAAAGAGTTGAATCCAAACACACAAAGCATATGAGAGGCATAAGCAAATGTATCAAATCTCAGTAAGCTATGGTGATTAGCATGCGATAATTGCATAAATGTGCTCACAATCAATATGTTGGGAGAAATAGATGATAGATGCGAGCTCTTACAAGTCAACATAGGAAATCTCTTTCATATGCAAAGCACCTATAAACTATTTTAGCAAGGATATTGTGGCATCTCTACACCTAACAACCATCCAATGGAGGACAGATACACTCAAGTGGTATGTAATTAAGGTTGTGATATCACTACAATTGAGGTCGGCTCACTTGTAGACAAACACAACTATTCCCTGGGAACTATGATGATCGACGAAATTATTTATGGATAATATTAGTGATTATGTAGTAAGTGCAACAAATCCCCTATTGATACAAGTACATCTGTTCTCTGCGAGCAAAATATATAAGGCTACGACGAATCCAAATTCCTGCAACCTATCGCAGGAAGCTTTTCATGTATGTAAAGTGTTTACAAGCAAAGGTGAATGTCATGTAATAAATGCAGGCATCTACAAGCAAAAAGCAAGAGATTCGTCAGTGCACTACAATCTACCTGCGCAAATCATGCGAGTAGTGCACGACAGTCTACCTGTACGAAGCAGCAAATAACGGAATCTAGAAGCTGTTACAAGACGCCACCTGATCTGCAACCTCCGTACAAGCAGACAGAAGGCGTCTACAAATGATTTCAAATTACCCCCACGTGTACTATAGTTCGTATACACATAGGTACACTAAAAGGGGTAAAAGAAATTATAAAACTCGTATGGGCCCCGGTGAGCGTGTTATTGGTACACACGTGACATCTAGGAATGCTGCGCGGGTTATCAAATTTTAAACCCGACCCTCCTTAGCAAGAAAAAAGAAGTCGACAGGGTTTAATTATAAAATGCTCCCAAACCCGCATGGGCCCCAGCGAGCGTGTTATTGGTACACACGTGATGTCTAGGGATGCTGCGCGGGTCAACAAGTGAATTCAAATTCGAACCCGATCCTTCTATACGGATCAATAGGAGTCGACAGGGTTCGAACCATTAAGCAAATATGTGGCCGTAGCGACCAGAATATTTGTTTTAATATATTCATATTAGGCCTTCAAAGCTTAAAATAAAAAAAAATTCACTCTCAAATGCATAAAGCCTACAAAATCTGATCCTCTATCGATAATTCGATAGAGTCAACATTATTCAATCAATAAAAGAGAAATGAACCCAAACACCCTGATGATGACCGTGTTGATTGCATATCTCAACTAGAGGGGTTCATTTCAAATAATCCAAAGCTCCACTCAAATACCCATAAAATCCAAAACTCCATAAAAATTCTAGAAGTCGAAAATAAAAAAATACAAAAATCTCAAAAATATTTAAAATTGAAATTATCCATCCAAACTTAAAGAAAAATCCATCCACCCTTCGCAACAGTTTGCATGGGTGGACAAATTAAAAATTACTTCAACTCACAAAGAGCCAAATGCCTAGTCAAAAATATCACTAGGATCCATTCTCAAACACTCTTCTGCCAGTAAGGACCTGGTACGTGTCCTCTAACCCGCAATTTTGCCGCCAAATGGCACTGCAGGTAAACGATTATGACCCGAGGCCCTCTAAACCGAGTGGTTTTGCCGCCAAATGGCACCACGAAATACAAGTTATGGCCAGCACTGTTACATTCCTTATTGGCATCAAATCCTTAAAATATGAATCAATAGGATATGATCGATAGGGCACAAAGCCCTCTGTCAGCTAAGGTGGATTTAAAATTGTCCCTTTAGACAAAAATTCAACCCCGGTCTACAAGGTCCCCTTGGACGAAGCAACCCATGGCTTCTGACAAGGATCCTTATGTCAGGTTGGGTCGACTACCTCCTCTAACAAAGTAGACCAGGGACCACGATGGCCCGGGACGACAGAATCATGGGATCTTGATCGGGTCTATCATCCATTCCCCCACCATCCGCTTTAAGTGCAAGATGGTGAAATTTCTATTTTAAATATCAAAATTTTCAAACATCCAAACTCTTCCCAAATTTCAACGAATTTTCGAATTCTCAAATTCTCCAACCATTCCAAATACCCATTGCTGCTACTATATGCTAGATACCATGTATTTCTACGTATCTGATTGACGACTAGCCTTAATCGAAAGTTCTCTCTTGTGATCGAGAGGGGTAATTAACTATAGGGGCTTGCGCCTATAGGAAACCAGAACTCATATCATAAAGTCCTCACAAAATGAGGGCAAAATCTCTTGGTATTGTCTTATCTACAAACCCATCTGCCTTCCAAAATTTACCCCGGAACTAATTTCGTTAAAACTTCCTCGTCGAATAAATAGAAAAGCGGTGGGGAGGCCGGGGCTGAATTTTCGGTGCCCACAGATTTCTAGCGACTCCACTCGGGTTTGGTTTCTCTTTCCATCTTTGGCTAGTCGTCTCAGTGCTATAGTAGCAGCTATACCAAATTATACTCAAAGTTCTGAGTCTTTCAAAATGATCATTCAAGGAATTGAATATTTGAATCTTCTAAAGAATGATCGTTCAAAAAAATTTCCATTGAGATAATTTGTTTAGCAATATTTTAGATTTATATTATTTGAACTGCTCGCTAATATTATCTTCTCTTATTTTTGTGTTATGTGCAAGTCTCTGCATTTTAAAAGTGTGGGGTGATGTATCAGATTCTGATTACTAACCCTTACCTTTCATTTATGCAGCTGGATCTACAGAACACGCCAATGACCGTCCAGTTGGGACGAGGAGCCAGGATTCAGCTGGCTAATGCTATTATTGAGACCGGAAACACTGGAGCTACCATCCAGTTTGGTAGCGTTGACTTCCCAGCGATTGCTGCAAGGAATGCCGTCATTCATGCGAATGGTAGGAATGTTGAGAAGTCTGCTTGAAGACTCAATGCTGATAAAGCTGTCACCCGTCGTGTGCATCTGCCAGCACAACGACCTGTTGCTGAAAATCCTCGTGGGAGGGTTTCTGTATTTGAAAGACTTTCTCAAACTGAGGCCCCATCAACCAAGAGGATTGTGGCTGACGGAAGAATCTCAGTGGTGACTGCCAACACCACTACTTTGCCGACCAGGTTATCTACGCCTGGAGAGTATAATGCCGAAGCCTCCTCATTTGGAGGGAGGCCTACGAGAAGACAAAGGAGAAAGATGAATGCTGAACTCCGAGCTCAGCAACAACAACTCCCTGTTCACCCTTCCAATCTGCCAGCCCAGGTGCCTGAAGCCAATGTTCCTACCCGGAACAAGTTTTCTGATTTAAAATGGGTGAAGAGGAATAGCTCCACTGGTGAGCTAAAGAAGTCCTTTTGGGAGCAACGACGTGAAGCTCCAATCCCTCCAAAAAGAAAAGAGCCTGGAACTCTGTCCGCGTGAGTATATAGAGTATTGAAGATAGTGAAAGATAAAGGTCTGAAGAAGAAGTTTCAATGGCCTTTAGTGATCGAGACCAGAAGAACCCCGCCAAGGGAGCGTCTGTCCTTTGCTGCAGAAAGAAGAGAAAGAAAGTATATCCCATGCGGTGAACATCAGGGTGTGACACCTGAACCATATGTTTAGGGATCCACCACTGAAAGGTCCCGGTGGAAAGGAAAACAAGTTTGGAGGCCAAAGCCTCGAAGAAATGAGAAAGAAAGAAGAAAAGGGAAGATTGATCTGGGCGTGACATCTGGTGAGGCTTCCCGGAGATCCGCCCCAGTTTGCAAATAACGTCAGAAGTGGGACACAAAAAGGACCCATAATGACATTCCTCCAGATGGTAGACACCTTGGAGAATCCTCCAAGGGATCCCGTCGCCCTCCATCCCCTCCAAAGGAAGAGACTAACTTCGATCGCAGCCCAGTGATCGAAGAAGTCCCCATGCCTAATCAAGAACCGGAAATCCAATGGCGTCTCTGCTCGGAGATTCGAGTACTGGAAGAAAATATAGATGATCAAAATATAAAAGAAGAAGAATACCTCGAAGGGGGTGAAAATATTGAAGAAAATATGGAAGAAAATATCAAGGAATATATGGAGGAAAACCTGGAAGAAGGGTTAGAAGAAATAAATAACGCCATGGATATGGAAGTTGTCTATATGGTGACATATATAGACATTGATGATGGCGCCAATTATGATGATAATGAAGATGAAGAGCGTTGGCAACAGCCACCCAGGCAAGTATACCGTCGTCGTCGTAGAGAAGGGTCCACCATTGGCAGAAGTCATCATTCTCAAGAAGAAGAAGAAGAAGTGGAAGAAATAGATGAAAATCCTTCTGATGCCAAAAATGTCACACTCGCTGAAATGCGGTGACAAATGAGGCGGCAAATGAGAGCCAAAGATAGGAAAATCTCTCAGTTAAATGAGAAGATGACTGAGATGATGGTTCAAATGGGGTCGATGATGCAGAGAAATGCTGCTATTGGTTCCATGCCTAATCCTCCTGCTGACCCTCAAAACTTTCAAGTGCCACGAGGATCAGGAGTACAGGGAGCTCCTGAAGGTGGTCACGAAGTCAATAACATTACTCGCCAACCCACTCCGCAGAATATTGCAAGTACTTTCGAACCTGTGACTGCTGCACAGTTAGAAGGAATTATAGCTATTGACCAAGCAAAAAAGTTGGTGGGCAAATATCGTCCGTATCCTGCTGAATATGACCAAGTACCATATCCAAAATGGTATTTTGTACCAAAATTCAATACTTTCAACGGTACTAACAATCCCCGACAGCACCTGGCACAATTTAAAGCCACCTGCGGAAACACAAGAGGCAGTGACGCCCTACTCTTCCGACAATTCGTCAGGAGTTTGACAGCAACTGTTTTTGAATGGTATGCTGAACTGTCGAATGATTCTGTGAAGACCTTCGCAGAATTGGAAAATATATTCGTGAAGAGGTTTGCTAGTGCAACTGAGACGATCAAGATCGCTGATCTCGCTCTGGATAAAAGAAAAAGAGAAGAATCAGTGACTAAATACATCACTCACTGGTAAAATCTGAGCATGAAATGTGAGCAGCAGTTAGAAGAAGAGCATGCCGTACAGTTGTTAATGGGCAACATTGATGACAAGATGCAACCCTTCCTGTGTATGACTACAATAAACACATTTCAAGACTTGCTAGACAGAGTGGCTAAGTTTGAGAAATTAAACTTATCAAGATAAAAAAAATCACTCTGATAAGCCCAAGAAGGCTAAGGCTCCAGGTGCTAGAAGGGGTGATGTCGACTCTACATTCTTCTCTAGAGCTGATAAAGAAAGGCAGGTGATCTATAATGTAGATAAGAGCAAACAATCAATGCAGTATGAAGAAAAGCCCAAAAGGTGTACAATCCTCACCCCCAACCAAAGCTGATACTCGAGGGCAACGATAAGCCACGAACTTATCAAGGTGGTGGAGAACGCTCGAGACAGGCAATAGGGACTGGTGATAGAATGTTCCAATCCCTCAAAGATAAAATGAACAAAGAATATTCATTCAAGAGGGAGAGTGTCACCAAATTATTTCGATAAGCATTGAAAACGGGTTTAGAACTGCCTGAATGCAAGAGACCCGAAGAGTCGAAGCACAGTGGTGACCCAAATTATTGCCCATACCATCGAGTACTCAGCCATCCTATTTAAGATTGCTATATCTTCAAGGATTGGCTTGAAAGAAAATATCAAAAGGGGGAAATCACATTGTCCGACAATGTATTGTCTCATCCTAGAAAGGAATCAACTCGGGTGGTCACGTCCTCTTCCGTACTCCTGACTGAAGAAAGAAGAAATAAAATGAAGCCAGCTCAAGAAGAACAGTGGGAGACTGCGGTCTCTAAGAAAACTGTGAAAATGTTGAAGCAGCATGAAGGAGTTTCAGGTGTAAAGTGGAAGTCTTCTATTGAGCCAATGATAGATTTAATGGCACTGCCGGTGGTACGATCTTCTACTTCAAAACAGTTTTCCAACCAAGTTGGTTCTTCAAAAACTAGAAAGAAGAAATCATCCAAGAAGAAGACCAAGTTGAAAAAGCCCAAGGAGAAGATGATTGCAACTCAGAGGGTTATCGACAGTTTGGATGAATACTACCAGACTGTGAGGAAACCTATCAAGCTTGCTGACTTCATGGCAGAGCTTAAAATTGATGAAGTTGAAGAAGATGATGAGAATTATCTTCCAACAGAAGTATGTCGGGTCATCTCGGTGACACCAAGTACCTTGACAAAAGAAGAATACACCAAAAAAGTACCATCTGAGTCATGTATGATGGTGTTGCCAATGAATTACAGTTTAGAGGAGGATTTGTATTTTCCAGAGGAAGATGGGTCGAACCCTGACATAGCATCGCAGATGGGACGCATAAACCTGGGTGGTGACTCTAAATGAACAGATGAATTCCTAGAAGCAACAATGGCTGACTCAGGAAAAAATATACCGTCAAATGAGTTTGAGTCGGAGAAGGTTGCCCAGGTGCAGTTGAGAAGTGGCAAGGTATTGCAGCCTCCACCAAAGAAAGGGGCTCCTAACAAAGATAAGGGAAAAGAGATAATTATCAATGACGACATTATCCTTGAAGATCCCAAGAAAAAGAATAATTCAGCCACCGGGGTGGATTATAATGTCTTATCCCATCTGAGGAAAATACCTGCACAACTCAGCATATATGATGCCTTAGTAATGTCTAAAGACCTTAGGGAGACTCTGATTCAGACTCTCAAAGATCCCGAAAGATACGAGGCATATTTTACTGAACGTAATTTGACTGAGGTTCTACAAGCTCGTAATGAGCCGTTTATTACTTTCTCCGAAGAAGACATGATGCTTGTGACTGCAGATCATAACCGTCATTTGTATGTTACTGCATAAAGTGATGGGATGATGATTAGTCGAATCTTAATCGATCCAGGATCATCTATAAATCTAATGAGCTTGAAAGCACTAAGATCACTATGCCTCAATGTGGAGCATCTTGGGTCAGATGAGCTAATGGTGCATAGATTTAATGAAAAGGGGCAGAAGACCCTAGGATCATTTACACTCTCCCTCACATTTGGAGAGCTTCATACATATGCTAAATTCCATGTGATTGATGCAGATACTGCCTTTAAAGCATTCCTTGGCCGCCCTTGGATGCATGAGTACAACATCGTCCCATCAACACTACACCAATGTATGAAGTACCTCAGGGATGGAGAAGAATTCAGAATCTCTGGTGACATTCAACCCTTTGCAGTCCATGAAGTGAAGATATATGAATATGCAAAGTATTTCATTCCAAAGAAGTTGAAGCCATCAAGCTCTCTTGAGGTACAAGCATCAGAACCAGAGACTGCAAAGCAACCTAAGCCAGAAATCAAGAAGAAATAGGTGGGGAGAAAGAAGGCAATGCCGACTCTTCTTAAGGTATCAACCATCCCGAAAGAAAGGAAATACATACCTCATTTAGGGAGTGACACAGATGAAAGTGATGCCACCCATACAAAATCCAAGAGGATACGTCGGTCAACAACCAAAAAGAGTATGGAGGTTGAATACTCAAATGATGATTATAACTATGATTCTATCTACATGAACACAGTGCAGGAAGTGTTCTCTAGAAGAATAGACAGCCTGTCAATCTCAGATAGTATACTCATAGTCACACGCGTTCCCTTGCAACACTTCAAAGAAGTCACTCCACGAGAAGTGCATTGTGTTGAAGAGCTTGTGACATTTTATGTACCTCCCCTAAAAGAAAAAGGTGGACCAGCGAGTATATTTTATTCGATCGGGAAACTTGAAGAGGAGATAAATCAAGATTGGTTTCGTACACTCATTGATTCCAAAGAATTAGTACCTACGAGGTTTCCCAGGTACAATACCAGAAATATTCAAAGGATGTTGCGAAAGCAAGGTAAAACCCGTTCATCCAAACATCAAGTTCGTTTCTGCTTGAGCCTCTGGTATCGAAGAAATCCCCACTCAATAAAGAAGAAGCATATTTTTGCGAAAAATGGGCTAGGTTTTATTATACGAAAATATCCCAAAAATGAGATTTGCCAAGCAATTACAAGCGGGGAAATTAAATCCGAGGATGATGGTGATGAGGAGGTGTACAAAGTTGATGATTATGATGATCAACCAGTTGAGGCTATACCTGCACTAGAAGAGCTTAAAGATGTGGACAGGCAGCCACTATGGATGAATTAAAAGAAGTCAACTTGGGAACTGAGGAAGACCCTTGCCCAACCTTCATTAGTTCTCTCCTACCCGAAGAACATATTGAAGAAATAAAAGAGCTTCTCTGTGAATTCAGGGACTTCTTTGCCTGGACATAAGCTGAGATGCCCGACTTATCCCCTGATGTAGCAGTTCACGGATTGGCCATCAAATCAGATGCAGCACCTATCAAACAAGCTTCGAGAAGGATGAGATTGAAGATTGAAGAACAGGTGATCGCAGAAACAAAGAAACTCATAGAGGTAGATTTTATCCGAGAAGAAAAGTATACCGATTGGATTGCCAATATCATCCCAATGAAGAAGAAGAATATGGAGATTCATATCTGTATTGACTTCCGGGATCTTAATAAGGCTTGCCCAAAAGATGATTTTCCACTCCCTGTATCTGAACTCCTGGTGGACAAATTGGCCAACTACGATATATTCTTCTTCATGGATGGATCATCAGGCTACAATCAAATCAAAATGGCACATGAGGATGAAAAACATACATCGTTCAGAACGCCCATTAGCATATTCTGTTATACGGTCATGCCCTTCGGCCTGAAAAATGCTGGTGCCACCTATCAACGGGCGATGACACATATATTTGATGAGTTGATACATCAAAAGGTTGAGTGCTATGTGAATGACCTTGTTGTCAAGAGCATGGATCGAAGAAATCACCTAGATGACTTGAGAATTGTATTTGAGAGAATCAGAAAGTTTGATCTGAAGATGAATCCTCTCAAATGTGCCTTTGGGGTCTCCTCCGGCAAATTCTTGGGGTATGTTGTTCGTCATCGAGGTATAGAAATCGACCCCAACAAAATTAAGGCAATCACGGAGATGCCACCACCAAGGAACCTTCGACAGCTTCGCTCGCTACAAGAATAACTGACTTTCATTCAGAGATTTATATAAAATCTATCGGGTAGGTGCCAGTCATTTTCAAAGCTAATGAAGAAAGATGTTCGTTTCAAATGGGATGCAGAATGTCAAGAGGCATTTGACAGCATCAAAAGATATTTGTTGAATCCATCCATTCTCGCAGCGCCAATTTCGGGGAAGCCTCTTATACTGTATACGGCTGTACTAGAAGAGTCCCTCGGAGCACTATTGGCCCAGCAC